GACACAACGGTTGACTTTTCGAAATACATAATAATATGTTTTAGTCTCAATTACAGCAATTTACCCAAATGACTATATTTTTAATTTGGTTTATCTATTTTTGCTGCAATCTGATAATTTCTACGATTCGAGAGAGATATTCATACTATTAACAAACTTGTTAATCAAGAAAGTAAATGAGAATTAAATTGTTTCATGCCTAGAAATGGACAATAGAAAGGCTTTATATTTAAGTTTCATTCGTATAAGAAATGAACTGGCTTTTCAATTTGGTTTATAGAAGCAAAATCGTGCAAAATTCGCAACCGAACATTTTTGAGAATTGCAACTCTTGGTATGAATGTAACTTTTACTCTATTGCTGAGCTGTTATTTCATAATTCTTTTTAATAAAAGTATAAATATAGCACTTTCTTTCACGTTTAAAATATCTTTTTTTTCATTCTTAGAAATTCAGTTGTTTGCAAATCTATCTATCTATCTATGAATAGAAGTCACTCGTGGCGGTTAAAAATAATTTCCGACAGCAAAAAGTAGAGTTAACTTAAACCACTTTTGAAAAAAGTCAAAACAAAGCAAAAATCGTGTTTGTTTTGTTTCATACAATTATTTCTGTTGCATTTTTATGAAATTAAACTATTGTATGTAAAATCAGTAGCGGGGTCGGATAGCGCCTGAAGCGCTTGAAGACAATGCAGCATATGGCTCTTTCCAAAAGCACATTCTGTTTGCAGATTACTGTACCGTGTATTGTTGGTAGTGTACATCTTTTTGAGGTATAAGCGTTCAACGACTTTTAAACGAAACAAAAAAGCCTACCATTTCAGAAGAAATGTCTGTAAAGAAATGTCTAAAAACTTCTACAAACAAAGACTTGATTTTCAATAATTTAAATAAATTAAGCATACTAAATAGGCTCAGTAGAAGGAACATTAAGTAAAATGAAAACAACATAATTTACATTACTTTAGTAGCATAGTTACCTTTTCTAGTTTTTGCATTTTCTACTTTGCTACTTCATATTTCCATATGTTTTTTTAATCGTCATAGCTCCTCACTTGCACCACCATATAAATTGTGCCCTGAAGTCAAACACATGGTATCCATGGAAAACACCATGGCGTCAATAGACAATTGGAAGAATGGCGCTACAATAATTAGCCAGATCTAATGACTGAAACACTATACTGGTAATAAAGAATAATTTTGGCTTTTGGTACAAAACAATACGATTGTTATTTACTTAGCGCTTTCGATGGTTTCTTTAAATTTGCAATAGCTTTTTGTGTTGTGCTGATAGAGACTAAGATCAATGTAGAGGGTTACAATTTTGACGCTATAAACTAAGATCAATGTAAACACGGCAGCAGTAAAAATAGTAAGTTCCACCTACTTGGCAAAAACAAAAAAAGTCTGATGTACTTTCAGAAGTACATGTGCTTTTAGAAGCTTTACCTTAATATTAATATTACAGCCCACCATATCGTAGTACATAAACAATCTAACTCATTATAATTCAGTGTTTAAACACTAAAAAATAACTCCATTCCATATAATTAAGTGTCACACTCCCCTATTATCGTATGCCATTAAAAACAAAATTCTCGCTCGGAGGACAGCGTCGTAAAAATGACAAAGGTCCTCGCGACCTCGCGCGGCGCAGGCGCAGGATTTAGTATATAAATAACGCACAAATGAGTATCGTTGCTCGCGTTGGCTAATCCTGATTTACTGAGGTACCTGGGGAGCTGGGGTGATGGCTACGGACGCGTACATATTGGGAGTCTGTAGGCTGAACAATTTGATATTGATTCATTAAATACTTACAAGAATGTCCTGACAAGAGACAAGCAGACAGTCTGCTGAAATATACTTGAAATTCTTTAATGATTAATTTTGAGAGACATATTTGGCATATATGGTTCCTCTTTTCCAAGTCTTCTTAGCTTATGATTTCCACCCAGCCTTTCGAGAAACGCAAATGACGACTGAGGCTACCATGGACCTTGGATACCAATGAGAAAGTTTAAATTGAGCATAGGGTGACTTGACTTATCGTGCTCACGCACAGATGACCTAATGGTTGATTAGTAGAGTGGTAACTTTAAGGCATAAAGGAAGGCACAATAGTTTGACTTTCACGCTTAAAATAATATCTGAAGCAATTCCGATTTATCATCAAGATAAAAATGAACCTTAGAAAAAAAGGAGGTAAGCTATTTTTTGCGCCGGGTGGCAAGAGTTAGAGCTATATTGCGCAATGACGTCACATTACAGCTGATGAAAATGGTTGAAATGAAGTCACAAAGGTACTTTTAATATTAAATACTGAACTATTCGTGTGTCTTGTAATGTATGAACGTGTCTTTACGCCGAGGAGATTATACTTTACGATATGAAATTTAATATCAATATCCTCTGTTGTGTTATCAGCCGTGACACTGTCGATGACTGAGCCGTGTTTTTCTTTGATTTAAGATATATTTTAAAATGTAATGTAATGTCTATTTGCTCAAAAAGCTCTATGGCGATATGAAATAGTCGGTTTTGAAGGTTTCGATGCTAAATAGAACTGAACTCGTAAATACGAGTAAAATATGTAATTTAATTTGTTCTCGTACGAACTGTAAATAATATTTTAAGTGGACATTAAAATTAATTTAATCGGTTGGTTATTACTAAAATTAATTTCTTAAAGATATAAAGACTTGGTCTTTAATGTTTTTGTACGGTTGAGACGCATGTGATTTGCTGAAATTGATGACTTTTTAATTAACAATGTTTATGGCAGTTTATTTTAAACTCAAACTTGAATTTTATTGATATACGTTCGTCTGTAATCTTGGCACTTGGATGGTCTTAGCAAATGTAAGTCGTACATTGTAACTCGATGTCCACAAATTATTTCAGTATATTTTTACCCTGTCCGTTCCTCATTCAGCAATAACAGCAACAAATGCTGTGGAATTAAAGCCCATAATTCCACAATCAAAACATATCGGCCGTTGATCAAGCGCGGCGTTTGATATGTCGTAGACAGGTTGCGAATTAAAGCATTTAGAAAAACGTCCAGCAACTTTGGATTATCGGTATATCTAATGTTAAATACCATGAGCATTAATAAAATTACCCATATCAGATCGTATTGTATGATTTAGCGTTTCTCAATTTTGTCTTCCAGTCATTTTTCGAACTGGCTGAATTTATCCCTCTGCCTACTCGATATAAATCACGTATTAATGCTATTAGAGAGCCTTATATTGCGATGAAATTTAATCCATTTAACTAAATTTTTCCTACCTTATGAGTGCGATAGGCACGTCACATCTTCACATGGTTAGAGGACATGGTAAATTTGCGATGAAATGTTACGCTATTCGCCTACATTTTTTCTAAGTTAGTCGTTTAACAAATTGCCTAATTAAACCCTATGCCTGCTGCAGCACGTCACGCCTTCACGCGGTTAGAGGGCAAGCAGAGCGGCGAAATGTTACTTAAGCATTCGACAAATGTTGTCTAACCTAGTCTTTCCACAAACTGTCTGAATTAACCCTATACCTGCCGCAGCACGTCACGCCTTCACGCGGTTAGAGGGCAAGCAGCGCGGCGAAATCCTGACTTATGTGCCGGGCACAAAGGACAATCAATAACAATCGGGATTTGCGCGTGAAGTTGAACGCTGGCAGAGAATGGGTTAAGTGAAACAAATGGTTGTTCTGTATTCTTCAGGTAATGCAGGGATTGTGCGATGGCTTGTCGTCGAATTCATGAGCGTCTCAAGCTTAGACAAGTGCATAAAATCGTGTAATAAAAGTGTCACAAAATTTATTTTTATTCAGTCAAGCAAGTTTGATAATTATCATATCAGTAATGTTGGTAATTAATGAGCATAGAAAGTATAATTTAAGTAAGATATTATTCAACAAAACCAAAAAATATCCTTAAAAAAAAGTATTACTAGATTCGCATAGTAAAGAAGAGGCTTTCATGAGTCAGACCAAAAGATTTCATAAAACATGAAAAGAAATATTTAGAAGAGAAGAAGAAGATGAAGTTCAACTGAAATGAAAGTTCTATCTGATATCAGAAGCTCTAATGAATCCATCTTTTTTTTACACATGTCGCTTTGTTTTTAGAAAAATAATACCATGACGTGAAATCGTGGCTAAGTAAACCCTACATATTGCGTTATAATAAAAAAAACAATGTTTCGTCTTATTCAATACCTTGTAACGAAAAAGACATCCTTGACTCATGCAGATACGACAACCACTCAACTCGGAAACTAATAAAATTAGAATAAGACCCACTTGCGCTAATGTATTCCGAACTGGACCCACATTCTCATGACCACAGCAATATTTCTTTATTAATTATACATTCCCGTACAATGTAAACATGCGTTATTGTTGCATGCTTGGGGTGCGCGCGTCTGCTCTATGCTCTATGCCTATTTTGTCTATGACTCCTTGAATTAAAATAGTGCCCACCGTGCAAAATACAATATAATACCCCTAATTATGCTTTATGGTAATTTTATGACAGAAACGTCTTTTTAAAGCGAAAGGGTGTTGTCCGTTGTGGGATGGTGTATGGGAATTTTAATGATTTAATGTGTCAGAATGACGCGTTAGCTGTGAGATTACGCGTTCGTGTCGGATTTGTGCCTTTTTGGTTAAATTATGCGTCGGGTCAAGATTTATACTTAATTTATTTAAAAGTGTAAGATTATTTTAGTCCTCAAGTAAATACAGAAGAGATTATAAGTGACTAGTGTAATACGAAAGTAATTGTGTCATGAGTAAGTAAGTAGGATTCAATTGAAGTTAGTAAGGACAAACCAAATCTTTCTTACATTTTGTTACTTCAGTTAGCAGATAAAAAGTACCTACTGTAGCTATTTTAACGCCTCTATTTTACTATTTAAATAGCCCAGTACTTAATTAAACCTTACTCTAAAATTAAGTCATAATAATTCCAATGCAATCGTGCGAAAGTAACCTGGGCGCCTTCCCGAAGGCGGAGTAGGGCGGGGCGCCCAGCGTGCGGCGCGGGCTGCCCAGCGATGGGAGTGGGACTCCTGCTGAGTAGGAGGTGCAAGGCCACACCTGTGTAGAGGTGAGAATATATTTGTGCTTCATTTCTCATTCCTTGCAACATGGAGTTTGTTTCGAACTCCTCCTATGTTCTTCTGATTAATTTCGTTGCGGGTCCAATGACAGTTTAACTTTCCCCCGGGACAAGGTTGAGTTTTTGTGGTGGTCAAGCTGTAGATCCTGGCTACACAGGAGTTGCAGTGGTGGGAACAAGAGGTGGGAATAGTCCCGTAACCATACCCCATGGAGTTTGTATCAATTATTAAGTAAATGTTTATTACTTACTTAAATCAGTAGTTTTGAACTCAAATATTAATAGATCGTAAAGAGTAGCAAGCATTTAAGTTTCATTCTGAGGTACGAGCAGGTAGTAGGAACGTCATAATTCAGAACAAATGATTCTCGGTATTTAATACACAGCCAACAATTCAAATTGATATTAAAAAAAACTACATTATAAATATTATTTTTTCATCAAAATTGTTTCATTTCATAATTTTCATTTTAACAAAACTTATGTCATACGTTTATGTACGCATTTTATAATCCTTATTAGTGGAATGGCACTTCAATTTTAAGGATAACTGATTTTAAAACACGCGAGACGAAATTGCAACAAAAAATAATCCAATATAGCTTCAAAGGCCACCAACAATATGGCTATTAGAGTAACAAACAACAATACTCTCACGACAAATTAATTTCTAATTCATCAAGTAAATGTATCACAATATCTTAAAGAGATGCTACCAGCGGGGCGCCTTCACCCTTCGAACTACCCTACGCTGCCACCATGCTGCGAGCTACGCCAGCCGAGTTTAAGCACTGAACAATCATGAGAAAAAAAGGCGTAACTCTAAAATCAAGAAAATGGGCGTAAGTCCTGAATTTTATCTTTATGGCAAGTGACGAAATAAATACAGGGTAAGTTAAGGGGCTTGAAATAATTATTTTCGTAATGAAAGTGTGTCCGTTATCATGCTGGGATTGTAGGTCTCACGGTACAAATGGTAGGTACATTTTATGATTAAGGTCAAAGGATATTTTAAATGCTGTTTTGTAAGCGATAATCAATCATGAATGAATTGGGGGTAAAGAGTATAAGTAGAAATAGTTAAGTTTAGAGTATAGGTTATAGAGTACGACTCTCTTGGTCTGGAGATTCTGGGTTCGATTCTTAAATGGGACATGAAGAATAACCCAGTTTTCAAAAGTGAAATATCTCAAAAAGAAATGATACCGTACGTGGTGATCCAATGATGTTCCAATTGAACGATGTTAGTCGTAAAATTTATAAATATCCAAATTTTATATAAAATCGTTCTCATTCACCCAAGCCCAAAACACGCCAATGTAGGTACAATGCTACCTATACTTGCATAAAATATCCTTTCCCTAAAAAAACGCATCCGGGCAATCGAGAATCGGTTCTCAAACAACGGCCCAACAATGGGCACAAATCGATCAGCCATTCGCTCAAAGGGATGCCAGATTCAGGTGTCAAAAACTCCCAAATAAAACCCATTCAGTAGAAGATCCGTCAACGTATCAAATCTCTTTGTCGATGGCAAAAAATAGGCAAGTGGGAGTTGGGTTTGCGCAACGTGGTTTTTATTTCTCATGTTAAATGAGTTATTGAAAAATGTACTATGATTTTTCCAAAAATAATACTAACTAGCTGACCCGGTGGACTTTATATCGCCTGTGTTCATCAGAAAGAATGTTGTGTGTTCCGGAGCCTACTTTTAAACAAACAATCAAATCTTCTCTTTTAGCGTAGAACTGTAATCAAAATTGACTGTTTCTTGCACTACTTCTGAGCACTAGTTTATACTTGTTGGTACATATTTGTCTCGAAACACTGTTTTTTTAAAGCAATGTAATTACAGAAGAGCTTTTTATATCAAAAGAAAAGCTTTAAAACCTACCTAGGTAGCAGCGATTTGTAAATGTATGTAGAGCTTAAATGCTTAAATAGCGTAAATTAAAAGATGGTTTTGTAAAACTTTTGTGGACTCCTAAAAATAAAAAAGCGCTAGAAAAAAGCGACAATGGATCGTGAGCAATCCGAGAATCCAATATGCCGGCACAAAGATAATTGTTATTTTAGGAGCGAAGCCACTGCGCATTATAATTTAGTGAGATGTCAATTGTGTTGTTTAATCGAAAACGGACCCGCAAGTGCACTGTTATATTACATAATAGTAGATCTACATACAAATCCAATACGTATAGATATCACGTCCTGCTAAATTCTTGTGGCTACTTTTTCCGATGGTAGTGAACTAGTGATTGAGAAAATGACCTCTATTTTCTCATCGATTGATTTGTGTGAAGCGTATTATACATAATATGTTAGCTGAATGCTTGGGTGCCTGAATAATAGGGGTCTTACATGGATCAGGCTAAAGCCTTTATAGGCTGTTCAAGAAAAAATCCTTCTCTCTTAGCGGTAATATAATGGCCGACACTGTCGCTGAACTAAGAATAACTGCAAACACCTAAAAATCAAATTGAGTCGCTTATGAAAGTAAAAATCAAATTTTCAACGGCACAGAAGACAACATCAGGTCTCTCTTATAACTAAAACATTTAATCTTAGGTACTTCACCTTGATAAAGAAGCATAGTCCTTAGCAAATTACTAACTTAACAAACCAATTGAGTAATAAATTCCATCACAATGATAGAAACAGAGTGGACATCTCGGGAATCGAACAAAGGCGATCATTGTCGTCGATTTCCGCGAAATCAGTTATCCGAACCGTGTCCGATACATTGGATTGGACACACTATCGATCGGTCGGATAGATCCATTAACGACGCATCCACTAAAGAATTATGAAATTTTCTGTTACCAGTTTACTGAATTTAAAGACTCACCAGAGCCTACGATTAAATAATATGCTGATTTGTGATAATGACCAGAAATATTTGTATCTAAATCAAATAGATATAATTAATGTCTAAATCGATAAATCTAGTTTCTTCGGTAAGCAAACTGAACAAAATCAAGGTTTATTTTTTACTTATATAATTTATTAAAATTCTACTTTATTAGTCTAAAAAAACACTCAATCAGCTATCGGTTTTTAAATGTATCGAATTGTGTAAATACGAAGGTATTGCAATTTGCAACTAATAGATTTTATACTTTTCTTTCGTATGTTTTACTTTAAATTGACTCAAGCCAAAATGTAGAATATGTTGGGAATTGATCTTAGTGGATGGGCCACTATTCTACGAGTTTCCCATTATCCACCGTACAACTTTGATTGCTATTAGTACGTCTTCGCGTTTTGTGAGACCATTGATTTAACCATAGCACACCATGAGACCGTCCCGAATGGGGAGGTGTGGAAAGTGTACTACGCTTATTAGAAAGGTTTATTAAGTTATCAAGTATAAGATTACTACATTAATAGAGCTTTATTTTAATACTTAATGCCATTATTTAATTGGCTCCCATATTTAGCCCAAAAGTTTAATTTTGACCCTATAAGTGCATTAATTTCTTAATTCAGACCTTCAAAATTCGGTAACAACACTTTTGTCTTCGGAATATTGGTCTATTATTTCTAAGCATCCGATAGCAGCCAATCCAACTCACGCGCAACTCAAGATGGCCGCCGGTGACACGCCGCATTGTTCAAACAGAAAAACGACACAGTCTTTTTTCCTTTTCTCTTGCCTTTTATTCTTCTCTTGGGACAATGGCCTCCAGCTGGCACTGCGGCGATTCAAACCATCTTTGAGGTGTCGACGAAATTTTTATTTAGTTTTCTGTTTTAAATTTGTGCTCTTTTAAGTTTTGATGGGCGTGAAATCGTAGTTTTACGAAAGGGTTTTATAGTTTTTATTTGGAATTTTAATTTTGTTGTGTTTGAACTTGATTTCACTCATCGTATTGGAATGTGGGCTGACATCAACATTCAGGCAATTGATGTTCAAGTATGTTCATTGAAGTAGTGCTAACATGGGTTGGTAACATGCTGTTGCCACGGCCGTTTTGGCAACAAAGTAATTTCAGTTCACAATTAATTTAACACGACACCTTGTCAGGAACACGTTCAGGACCTCCGAGGGTCACCTTTTGTGATGTCCGCTTCACCAGCATCTTCCCAATCGAGTGTCTAATCTCCTAATTGTACAAGCCCAAGGCCTCGATTTGCGTTTATTGAAACTGACAATGGGTCCAATTCTTCTCGCATATTATCCATTCATATCATAACGTTTATAAATACGCTCCACGGTGGCATTGTGGACGCGTCTCCCCGAGGATACGGCGAACAAAGAATATGTCATAATGGTTGAAAGTCCTCACAATGGCGTTCGCAACCCGTCATTTACCTATGTACTATTGGCTATTTATGACAATAACTGTATTGTTGCCCGGCGAATTGTGTTCGGGAGTATTGTGCTCCGAATTCGCAAAAACAGGAATTGTCTCAGTGCCGGAGTAGCCCCAGGCCGGACAAGTAATAATCTTCGCGATGGTGAATGAGGTCTTATTAGGTCGATTGTTTCTTTTAGGCCAGCTGCCGTGAGAGCTGAAGACAAAGGAGGAAAACACGCACGCTGTTCTTGTGCTTTTAAGGTACTGTGAAGGCATATTGGTAAAGTAATTGTAAATGAGAAAGTAACTCACATAAAATGCATTAATTTGGCCATTCTGAAGTCTATTGTGGTTTGTTGTAAAGCTCATTTGCCATAGGGCTTGAATGCATTATTGGAAATTAAACACTTAAAAACCCTTTCAGAACTTAAAATCATTTTATACAATAATTACAACAACTGAGAGAATTAATTGAGAACCTCATTATTTCAAATCCTTAAACTTCATATTACAGTTCTGAGACAGTATTTGACCCTCAAATCAAAACAAAAGCAAAGCATTGTGATGCCCTATCTATTGTGTCCATTATTTGCCCCAACCTTGGTCCAAGCTCAAGCTGTGCGTGATAATATTTGGTTCCCTCACAACCTGGTCACCTTTGTTACGCTGGCCTGACCACTTGAGGTACAGACGGCAGCACATCAAGTTAA